ATTTAGGGATTTATATTTAATATTGGAAATATTTAAATAAGAGATATTGGGTAGCTTACTAAGTTTTGAGGGTTTAATTACAATATTAATTATTTTTTCTTAAATAGTTTAGGAATTAATTTTTGCAAAAATGGGATAAATTTGGGGATAAAAAACGGATAATTTTTGGAATAAACTTGTAAGATCCAAGAGTATAAATATAAAACTAGGGATAAGAAATAATAAAATATTTTTTTATATAATTAATTCAAAAATAATTATATAATCAATTTATTCTCTAAATAAATTAAAAAGGATAAATTTCCAAATAAAATGGGATAAAAACTTAGGATATTTTGGGGTAATAAAAAGGGATAAAATCTAAGATTTTTTTTGGGATAAATAAAACTAGGATAAGAGATAAGGTTAGGGGTTTATATAGTATAATTCTAATATCATATTATATTCACAATAAATTAATTGAGATATTTTTGCAAATTAAATAAGAGATAAAGGATAAACACACATTCAACTCACATAAAATTTAAGTCATCTACCCTTGTGTATTGAGGCATTTTTGAAAATTAAATCTTCCTCCACCCCCATTGTGTGAGGACTATTTTCAAGGGATAAAAACAATCAACCAACAAAATAAGGGACATGAACTATAGAACTCTAATCCTTCAAACTTGAGGGTACGTAGGCATAGGGTTGTAAACCTTAGCGAGTACAATAGTAATAAAAATTTAGGGTTTCCTTATCATAATTAAACCAATTCTCTTATAAATAATAAAAGCTTTGTAAATATAAAAATTTGAGTAAACATACCTCAAGAAAACGTTAACCCTAGGACTTAAGGAGGATCCTATTGGATACAACAGAGATGAGGGGTGCCTAACACCTTCGTCCCACCTAACTGACTCCTGAACTTAGTGTCTCACCCTTAGTTTGTAGGGTTTATCATTTATTTCCTGTCTCTTAGAACGAATAAAAGATGATGACGACTCTATCATTTTTGTCGGCCGCGACACTTTAAATCTTTATCTTTAGAGTCTTTTGCCTTTTCTCTAGAGCCTACAAGTGTTATTTCTAGATCAATTGTTCCAGATCCTTTGATTCTTCCTTTATGGTTTCCTCCGAAGCCTATGTACCCAACATCTTTAAGTTCCAGACTTTGGAACATATGCCTTCTTCCCATCATGTGTCGCAAACATCCAGAGTCCAGGTACCATAACTGGTATTTTAACTCTGCTGCATAGGATATATCTTTTAAGTCATACTCTGTATTGGTTGTGTTTCTTGTGGAAGCCATGAGTGCTACGTTGACATGCTCTTCTTCAGAATCAGATTCTGATACTTTAGAGTCAGAATCATCTCATGTTGCAATGAAACCTTTCTTCTTGCCTTTGAACGCATCCTTATTGAAACTTTCTTTTCTGGAGCTTTCTTTTTTAAGCTTTGGACATACATTTCTATAATGTCCTGGCTCATTACATTCATAGCATGTAACTTCTTTTCTTCTTTTTCTTCCTCTTGAAGATGAATCTGGGTGATCTCCTTTGTTTCTGGACTTTCGGAAGTCATTTTGTCTTTTCTTCCAGAGTTGTTTAATTCTTCTAGAGAGAAGGGACAATTCATCTTCGTCATCAGAATCTTCTTCGTCTGACTCTTCTATTTATTTTTCCTCAGCTTGGAAGGCTTTAGTCTTTTCTGACTTGTTTTGTTATGATCTAGACCTTAGAGTGATATATATTTCCCTTTTTCTGAGGCTCATCTTCCTGTAACTTTATTTCATGACTTCTGAGTGAGCTGACTAACTCTTCAAGGCTTATGGTGCTTAGATCCTTGGATAACTTTAGTGCAGTAACCATTGGTATCCATTTCTTGGGAAGACTTCTTATGATCTTTTTGACATGATTAGTTATAGAGTAACCTTTATCCAGAATCTTATGTCCTACAGCTAGAGTTTGAAATATTGAGAACATAGTCTCAATGGTTTCATTATCTTCCATCTTGAAGGCCTTATATTTTTGGACCAATGCCAGAGCTTTAATTTCCTTGACTTGAGTATTGCCTTCATGTGTCATTCTCAAGGAATAAAATATTCCTTTTTTGTATCTCTGTTAGTAATTTTTTCATATTCATTGTAAGATATAACATTGAGAAAGGAGAGTTTTGGCTTTGTAGTGATTCATGAACTTACGCTTTTGATCATCATTCATTCTATTTCTTGGAATAGGAACATCAATCACAGATACAAGTATTTCATAGCCACTTGTGACAATATCCCAAAGATATGTGTCATAGCCTAGAAATAAACTTTCTATTATATCTTTCTAATAGTCAAACTTTTATCCATCAAAGACATGAGGCTTGGCATTGTAACTATCTCTCTCATTTCTTTTAGCAGCCATAATGTTTTTCTTACGCTGGATCTCTCTACGCGGTTAAGTGTTTGATTGGAAAATTAATAACAGAGTCGGAGCTTTGATGCCAACTAAAGGTAGAAAAAAACACAAGAAAATGGGTTTTAATTGTTTTTTTTACCAAATGTAAACTTTTTAGACTTTCATTACAAAGGTTGATAAGTGAATAAAAATTAATACACACAAGTATTTTTATCCTAGTTCATTGTTAACAAAGTTACTCCAGTCCACCCACCAAGGTGTTTTCATCTTCAAAGGATTTAAACCACTAATCTTTAAAGATTACAACAAGTTCGTCTAAGTGTTTAGAAAAACACCTTAGCCCTCTCAAGTCTACCGACTAACACTTAGTCACATGAGAAAAAAATAATATCAAATAAGATACAAAGAAAGTGTTTACAAATATGCTTCTATAAAGCATATGAAACAATTTTAAGAACAAATTTTTACACAAATATGAGCAACAACTCTTTGTGTTTGAAAACTCCTTTTATAGACTTTGTATACTGTGCGTATTTTCTCTTGTGATATAGAACGTTATGTTTGCAATGAGGTTATGGTTCCTTTATATAGCTGGATGTTTGAATGTTGGAGGGTACAATTGTCAATCCTAATGCCAACTTGTTGCAACGGTAAAACGAAGACCGTGAGAGATAATATTAGTAAATTCTCACCATATTCTATATAGCAATATTGACGTAAAATCAGTTGATACCAATTGGGAATGTACTATTTGTACGGATTCTTTCATCACACGTTTCTATCTTGTCCTTATCTTCTGTCCGAATTTATATGAGTAGTGATGACGAGTCCAAAAGATAAAACACTGAGTGGTATCAGAGTCTTCAAAGTCTTTAAAGGTAATGTCTTCAGAATCTTCAGAATTTGTTCAACAGAACCTTGTCTTCAGAGTCTTCAGAACTTGATATCAAAGTTGAAAGTGAAGCTTTTCTTAAAAGCATACAACTTTCTTTTTCTTCAGAGGCATTCAACATTCATCAGAACCGTTGATGTTTTTCAGAGAAGAAAGAAGTAATTTCTTGAGGTGTGCCAAACGGATTCTGATGAAATTTCTTGAGAGTTATCCAAAATCATCTTGAATTTAATAACTGTACACTTTAGAAATTTATTAGAGTACAAAATTGTTACATATAAAATATAGGCATTGTTATCATCAAAACTAGATATTATATGCAGAACCAAAATCTTGTTCTAAAACAGACCATGTTATCTCATTTTCTAATTTTTTATTTTTTCACTAGCATTAAAAGTTTTGTTTCGTCAAAATGACAATAAGTAAATCTTTCCTGAAAAACATCACCTGTTAAAGATTCAAAATATCTAATAATAAGAGGTGATTCATATCCCACATATATTCCCAACCTCCTCTGAGGTCCCATCATTGTTCTATATGGTGGAGATATTGGGACATCACAACCATATATTGGGACATATACTGCACAACCATATAAGATAATATATGAGATTTTAGATCTCCACTAAATATGAAAATTAGTAACTGCATATGGGGTTTTAGATCTCCATTGAGTATAAAAGTTAGGAACTGAATATAAAAGTTAGTAACCGCATATGAGATTTTAAACCTCCATTAAATATAAAAGTTAGTAATTGAATATATAAGTTAGAAACTGAATATATAAGTTAGGAATTGAATATAAAAGTTAGTAACTGCATATGGGGTTTTAAACCTCCATTAAACATAAAAGTTAGTAACTGAATATAAAAGTTAGGAACTGAATATAAAGGTTAGTAACTGTATATGAGATTTTAAATCTCCATTAAATGTAAAAGTTAGGAACTGAATATAAAAGTTAGTAAGTGCATATGAGATTTTAAACACCCATTAAATATAAAAGTTAGTAACTGAATATAAAAGTTAGGAATTAAATATAAAAGTTAATAACTGCATATGAAGTTTTAAACCTCCACACAAAATATATAAAAGTCATATTTATTATAGAGTACTTGACAAATTGTCAGTAAAAATAACGATAAAAGTAATTTTAGTTATAAATAACTTGACTAATTGTCATTTTTCTATAACCATGGTAAATATGAAAATTATATCAATAATGAGATTAAAGTGATAAGTTTAGAAGATATATCTAGTGTAGTAATAACTTCCGATAGAAACGATTGTGTTGATAACGTGTTGAGAAAAATCGATTTTAAATATTTGTTAATATTTATGAATTAATATAAATTATTAAACTAGTTGTAACTATTAAATTTAGATGAAAAGATTGAAGATACGAAAATACTTTTGTGTTTTCAAATAATTTACAATATAAATACAACTATTACACTAATATAATAATTGAATTTACTATTTTAATTTTGACAAATTGTATGTCAAATAAATTTGTCATTGATATTTAGATAAATATTATAATACAATATGTTATTAGCACTTGTACATTATATATTATAATATTATTCACATTTCAATCACATACCTAAATTAACTCTCTAGCACGCGAAGCATAGTACAGTCTTTGTTCGTTGTCTTGCATACATACCCAACAAACTTTGTTCCCCAGATCTCACTCTCTTGGCTTCATCCGCTAAGAGAAAATGGCGGTGATCTCTGCTCACCAATTCGCACAATGCATCACTTGCCACGCCTGGAGCCCCGATCAATCTAGTAATAACTCTTCTCTTTCAATTCTCTCTTTTCTATTCATTTTGACTGGATCTAATTTCTTGTTTCTCGTTTCATTTTAAGTGGTGCTGTTTTTTGTGTGTATGTGATTTGAATCAGTTTATTGCGGTATTTAAAGTGATTGTTGTATAAGCTGTTTTTACCATTAAAGAGCGTATAGTGGAAACTCTGCATAAGCTTAATGTAAGCCTTTTCTATAACTATATTGGATAGTTTTTGAAAATTAGACTAGAATAGCTTATGGATGTATCTTAAGGTATGTGGATCAGATTTTTTCAAACGGTTATGTTAGATAAGTCCATATAAGCTCTTCCAAATGTAGCCTAGATTATTTGTTCACGGGGAATCTTATCTAGGATGTGTTTAAGAACTGACTGAGAGAAAGGGGTTAGAAATTGTGGTCCTGATTGTGTTTGGTTTTGCGGTGAAAAAAATTTGATTTTGAATGAATTGATTATAACTAAAATAGAGTCGAACGTAAAGTAATTTATGTTTGGATAAATTTATGTAGAAGTGAGTTGAACAGAATCACGTTTAAACTCAAGCTACAAATTTTAGCTTTTAAGGAGAATCAATTATGGAGGCAGAGTCAATTCTACTTTAGAAGAACCAAACACCTCAAAATCATTTCAAAATCAATTCTACACCTCTAGAATTGCTTTTGCCTCTTCTAAAAGTTAAACCAAACATAGACTGAAGCAATGTGTAGGCTGATAATGCATACATGCAATGTGCATTGGGAAACGTTTGGATTAAAAAGGGGAGCGAAGAATATAGTTATCGAATTTGTGCAACCTCACACCCACTACTAATGTTGGTAACAATTTATGGTGTTTTTTCTCCCGTTGTTGACACGGGAGGAGCGGTGTTACCAAATAGGAGCCATGGCGGTGCTATGGTGGATATACATGGCGATTTTTGAGCTTGCCGCAATGGTAGCTCTCTGCCATGCACTGCCATCTACAAAACTAGGGAGGAGAAAAAACCTTGCTTTCGAACTCTACAACTTTTGTCTATATCCATTAGCCAGAGTAGAAAAATTTATTAGATTTTTGTGAGAATGTTAACGAGAGAGTGCTTTTTGAAGCGCACTTTCTCACTGGGAAGGAAAAACAAACTGGTAATAAATGAGAGCTCCTAAAATAGATAAGGAGATTAAACAATATATACTCATAATTGTCAATTTTTTTAATGCATTACTACATTAAAATTTGGTGAACACTCTGGTACCCTTGAATTTAGTTGGGTACCAATACCCTTATCCATCAAATAATGATATTGAATAACACATCACCATTTTCTTTTATTTTATTTAAAAAAAAATTTAAACTTTAAAGTAATTTAAACCAAAGGTACCGATACCCAATTAAAACTCATGGGTACCTAAGAATTTACCTAAAATTTTAATATATGTGTGTGTAGATTGTGCAAGTATAACATTAGCGTAGGGATGGAAATGAGTCGAGTCGAGTCGAACTCACCTCAGCTCGGCTCGACTCGTTAAAAATTGTTCGAGTTCGAGTTCGAGCTCGAGTTTGACACGAACTTTTTTTTAAGCTCAAACTCGACTCGTTATAAGTTCACGAACAGTTCGGTTCAACTCGTTAGGTTCAGCTCACATGATTCACGGGCTTAAAAACTATTTTTTAAAATTTATATATTTTTTAGTATATTTGACATTTTAAATAAATATTTTTTTTTAAAATAAAATATTAAAATAAAATAAAAGTTATCATATTGAAATTAAACTTTATCTTCAAAATCTACTAATTCAAAACCTACACAACTTTCAAGAGATACATTTGAGAGTCTAATTCAAAAACTACTAAATTGAAGAATAAATTTGTCTAAGATTTGAAGTAAATATTTAAACCTAATCTTAAAGACAGTATAATTCTTCTCATATGTAATCGAGTTGACTCATGAACCTAACGAGTCGAACTATGTATAGTTCAAGTTCAACTCATTTAGTTAACGAACTTAATTTTTCGCTCATACTCAACTCATTTGGTTCATGAACCTAATTCAACGATTTAATTGTCGAATCGAATTCCGAACTATTTTCGAGTTGGTTCAGTTCATTGCCAGCCCTAAGCGTACCATATTGTTAAGAGTCCCACATCGGACAATATATGACATGAACATGTGTTTATAAGTGGGAGCAATCCTCACTCTACCAACCGGTTTTGTAGGGTTGAGTTAGGCCCAACCACACTTCTTAACATGGTATCAGAGCTTCGTTTAAGATCCGGTGGGCCACCTTCTATGGTTTCCGCTATCGGGCCACCCACCATTTATTTCCACGCTTCAGTTGTCCAATCCTGAGCGTGAGGGGGTGTGTTAAGAGTCCCACATCGGACAATATATGACATGAACATGTGTTTATAAGTGGGAGCAATCCTCACTCTACCAACCGGTTTTGTAGGGTTGAGTTAGGCCCAACCACACTTCTTAACACATATATTTCACAAGTAATGTTTCTTGCCACGTACCATTCCCGTACAGAAAAGTATTGCATATTTTGTAACTATGGGGATGAATTTGGAAGGTTAAGCAAGATTTCCTTCCCTTTATTTGGATGTTTGAAATCTACGATTCGGATGGACATGTTATATTCGTAAAGTGTTATTTTTGGATAATCCCTATTTCCCCCCTTATATCATAAAACTCTCAAATAAACTTTTCCCCCCTTATATCATAAAACTCTCAAATAAACTTTTCCCTTCTACTGCAATCTCCTCCATCCAAAAATATATCCAGCTAATATACTTATCTTAGAAGAATGAAGGCCTATGTTAATAAGGTGGTTTTATTTATTCTTATGTATCTCAAATATTTTTCTTAACACCATGTGGTTTCCCCTATTGAAAATGACAAACATTATTGAAAATCTGTTCAAATAGTGGACTGGGATGATGTTTTCATCATCATATTGTTCTTATCTATCAACTTTTGTTTTTGGACTTTTATTTATCAAATCTGATACATGAAATGTAATCAATATATGTTGGAATTTTGTCTCAATAAGCAAAATGATAGGTTGAATATTTTATGATATTTAGTTGCTCATTGATCATTAGTTAATACTTATTTGAAGTTGTTGCTTTAGGACTAATCGAAGACTTTGCCTCATCACATAGTCTTTGTAATGGAAAAGCTTATCTAAATGTGGAAAAAATTGAGACATTTCAATTTTTATTTTTAATTTATCATTACAGGTATCCTCATCCTTTTGTGTTTAATGAATATAATGTTCTAATATTTGAAAACTTTATATATCATCGTAAAAGCTTAGTTCACAAATACGGTTTGAGTCTTATTGTAACAAACCAACTTTTGTCTTCTTAAAGGTACATTACCAATTTACCACAAGTCTCCTATGAATTATTCAACTATTATAATATAGCTACCTCCTTTTGTAGTGGTTGCATTTTGTCCAAACAACAATGAAGTTCACATCTATAGATTGATAGAAGACAAATGGGAAAAGGTGCATGTTCTTCTAAAGGTACACTGCTAGTTTTCTTTGTCTTCTCTCAAAATAGTAATTAATTCTATGCACTTTCATATCTTCTGGGTGTGAGCACAGTTAAAGGCTTAAATGTTAATCAAGATCCTTTGGGCAAGCAGTGAATGAATGAAAACATATACGCACTAAGTTGTACTATCTTCTTAGTGTGCCCCATACTATTCTATGAACTATTTTTCAAGTCTACCTGCACTGTGTTTTGGCTGTGAATTCATGCTGTACTCAATCACGTGTTGTAAAGGGGGACTGCTAGCCATGTAGTCCCTCATACTTGCTTGTCTTTGGTATGCTTAGTTATTCTTTACAAAACATCAGGACAAGAAAACCCCTTTAGTTTGGTGAAAACTTTGTACTAATTACTAAGCATAATTGAAAGTCATTCAATGACATATCAAGATCAAGCAGCAGAGTATAGGAGGGCGCAATTTAGAGTCTAAAAAAACTAGGGAAAAGTGGATCCTACAATACAGAGAAAATTTGAATGGGGTAATTGTGTACTGCCAAACATAATAATTAATAAAGGAAGGAGATATCACTGATATGTTTCTTGATCTTTACATAATAACTCCACCAAACAATAATTACCGAGCTTATAGAACATAAAACAATGTTTGAATAGGGGAATTCTGTGCAGATAAAAGATAAATTTTAATAAAGGACGGGGAAATTTTGCACAATTTTTCAATATCCTGTCTAGGATTAGAAAGAAGGAAGAAATGTTAAATATTGTGATCATAACATGGGTAATAATATTCTACCTCAAATACAAATAATATATAAATATGTACATATATGGACATAAAATAACAGATACAAAAGAAAATAGCCTTAATTAACATATGTTTAATTAAATTAAGGGTTTAATTGATATGCACTAATAGTGTAAAATAGTTTTACACTTTCATCCAATAAAAAATCAACAGTCTGCCATATGTCATTAGTTTTTTTTTAAAAATATCAGTGTGATGTGGCGGGATTCATGGTCGTCAGTCATCGGTTGACAGTGTAAAAATAATTTACACTGTCAGTGTATCACCCATTTCCTCTTAAATTAAATATTCAGTAGGTCCTGTACAATTCAGTAACCATCAAGTAACAATCACAGGTTCTGCAAGTTAACCTCAAATTATTCATGACATAAGTTTGTGTCAACAGAGAAAATTTGGAACAGTCAAGGTACTGAGCAAAACTGGGTGCAGAGAATGTGAGGTTGACCATGACCTTTAAGTCTGAAGAAGAGAACGTGATAAATACTTAGCTTGCAATAAAGATTGACAAAAAGAACTAATGCTTGGGTCTTAGCCTCTAGGTGTGGGAGATGACAAAGAACAGAGGCTGATGGGCTCAAATACAATGGACTGAGAGCGGATTGAGAGAGTTTAGTTGCGTGAGAGAGTTAGATGCTGCTCCGACTAGGTCATCAGTCACTCAATTAAATTGTGGGTTGCCCAGCTTGACCCATCAGCATTGCTGGTACATGGCTCATGAAAGATTATTAATCCTAAAAGCTTTACACACTTCCTTGGCAATCCTCCTTCAACCCATCTATACTATTATCTGAATGAATGAGATTGGAAGGCAGTCCGAAAGTCATTGGATTTTAACTGTGATTTTGACAACCTTGGTGCCAATGCTATTATGATTGATTTTTACCCTTATGCATTTAACTCTTTGAATTGTCTGATTGCGATTTTGACAGTCTTGATACCAATATTACTGATGTATTTTTTGCATATAATGAAACAACTACTTTGATTCGACATTTTATGATAGTTTAGTTTCTAAGTAATTTCTTTATTTTATTTATACCAGCATGACCAGGTAATTTCTGGGATAGACTGGAGTGCACAATCAAATAGAATAGTCACTGCATCCCACGATCGAAATTCGTGAGTGCCTGTGTGGTTTTGAACATTGAATTTTTCACCATTGATCTGGGTGACTGTTGCCAGTTTTTCCTTTATACATTATTGATTACAGATTATATTATTTAAATACAAACCATGTGTTCTCTCTAGATATGTCTGGAACCTTGAAGGATCAGAATGGGTGCCAACTCTTGTTATCCTTAGGCTAAACCGTGCTGCTCTTTGTGTTCAATGGAGTCCAAAAGGTATGGATTACATTGCCCTGTCCTAGTTTCTATCTGTCTTTCTTTATATGGGCAAAATAAGTCTTAAAATTTTTATGATTTGTGCCTACCTTCTAGAATTAAATTAACATATTTATGGTGTTTAAGTCAACTAAGAATTCAAAGCAAATTCAAAAGAATGAAATATCCATTTCTTTCTCCATCCTTGTCCCTTTTGGATTATACTTAGTGGATGTGATGGAAGTTGTAACTATGGCTATGAAGCTATCATAACCTAACTCTAGTTAAGCCCTTGTCATGCTTAACTAAATATTTCGTGTTGATTATCCCAACAAATTATTATTCTTGTTATTATTACTATTGTTATTATCACTTTATCTTTACCTTCAAAAGTTATATGGTTCTAATGAATTGCTGAATTTTGTCTTCATAGAAAACAAGTTTGCAGTGGGAAGTGGAGCCAAAACTGTTTGTATATGCTATTATGAGCAGGAAAACAACTGGTCTGTCAGCTTGTCCTAGCACTCATTTCCCCATTGTACCTTGGCAATATGATGGTTGTGCATTGTTTTTTGTGTTTGCACTCTGGGTCCACCATTGATCTACTTTAACCATAGTTTCGACTCTTAGATTGTATTAAGTGTGTTTAGCCAAAAGTATGTTTATCCTGTCAAATAACCTAATATATGTAGGGTAGTTTTTTATTGGTTATCAAGGCATCTAGTGCCTCTCGTCCCAAACTAATCTTTTATGAATGGAGTAGCTATTAGCACGTTCTTAAACGTTGACCTTCGTAAGACTTAACCATTCATCATTGAGTACATTTTCCTACAAAATCAAAACATGGATTTTTTCTCAGATATTAGGAATTTCACCATATAATTTTCTTGTACAACATTGTTGAGCAGGTTAGATCCAAACTATACTCAACTAAACCTAACCTACAGACGCCTCTAGTTTAAATAACTGGAATTCAAGTTTTAAATTTCAAAATAACTCATTGGCTTTTATTTAATTGCTTTTTGTATATTTTTATTACCTTTGCAGGTGGGTTAGCAAACTTATCAGGAAAAGACATGATTCTTCAGTAACAAGTGTTTCATGGCATCCCAATAATGTTGGTATTCTAACTTATTATATATACTTTTTCTATAGATTCAGAGTGTTTCTTTCTTGTTTTTATTAGTAGTCTATTTTATATGTTATGTCAGCCACTAGGAGGCTCTAGCATTGCATGTTGTAAATTCTCTGTAATGATTGCTACATTTTTTTATCGCTAGTAAAAAAAGAAAATTTCTTTTCCTGGGGACTATAATTGTGATTTTTGTTGACCCTCAATATTTTAGAACAATTTCTATATTTATCTTCAATACTTTAGAATTAAATCTTTATTTCTAGATTTCTTGTCCCTGAATGTTTTAGATGGATAATGTTTGGTCTCTGGACTAAGAAGCCCAGGCACATAGATACGACATTGATACAGAAAATTTTAAAAATTCAGGATATGCCATGGCCAAGATATGTTTACAAATATATAGTTGACTCTAAGAGTACCTCTGAGATGAGTTACTCTTCTTAATAACTCATTATAACCAATGAATTTCACTAATCCAACCATTGGTTATTGTTATAATATATTAATGATCATATATACAAATTTTCATGTAAATCCAAAATTTGTAGCTATGTAATCTAACCATCAATATTTACTTTTTTTTTTTAAAGTTTATCATACATTCATTTGAAATTATTCGATGAAGTATTAACAATTTTAAATTTTAATCTACTCAATAAGAACCTTTAATTTCACCGTAGAATGTGTGAAATTCACTGTTTATAATTGGAGTTACTAACTGGAGTAATTTGTCTCAGAGTTACCTCTAGAGTCAACATAAAAACTTAAATGTTTGTTTAGAGAAGTTCACATTGCTAATTGCATGTTAATACATCAACATATCAATAGTAGGGGTGGAAATAGGTCAAGACCAATTAACAGGAATCTTCGGCCTAGTCTACATAGGCTCAGGCCCAGACCAGGCTTTTTTGTAAGCCTATTTAGCTAAAGAGGCTAGGCCACAGGCCGTAAAAAAAGCCTTTTAAGTCTATCAGGCTGACCTATTTAAGAAAAACTGTATAAATTTATTATTATTATATTCTATTTTGTACTTTGAATTAAAATACGAAAACAAAACTTAGTTATCTTGATGAACTTATGAAAATAAGTTGACATTATAAACAAGGTCACAAGTTGTTGTCATAAGTTTTTTTATAAGTTGTCTCCAACAAATAGTATCACCAAACCTATACTAATAGGTAAACTTGAATGAGTCAATGAAAACAAACATTTAATCTCATTGATCTTTTAATATGTTAGTCTATTTAACATTAGTTGAATTACTTATTTACAAATGTTCAAGTGAAGTAAGGTTTTAAATAGGCTAGGAGGCCAATCAGGCCTTCGAAAAGGCTAGGCTCAGGCCTAAAAATAAGCCTATGATAGGCTATAGAGGCCAGACTTAGGCTTTTCATTTTTTAGCAGGCCAGACTAAGGCTTGGAAAAGCCTCTCTCGGCCCAACCTATTCACACCCCTAATCAATAGTAAAGATATGATCACAATTTACAAAAATGTACTTGACACTTGTGGTCATAACAACCATGCGTTAACGTTAAGCTTCTAGTTGTTGTTTGACTATGATCGTGGATTCAAAGTCCAATTTGCTACGGTTCCAAAGACACAGATGGTTACATCTTTCTCCCACCTATATCAAAATACATTCTTTCTAATATGAACTCGTCACAGAAAAGCATACAATTGTGTTTTGTAGTTAGTATGATGTAAGGAAGATTTATTGTATCCGGTTGACAATTGTGTCTATAGTTGGCAAGAGGCGTTGAAGATGTTTCTGAGAAGCATTGATGGAAACATTTTAAAAATGAATTAAAAAAATTATTGGATACTTTTTTGGGGCGCATCTAAAAGTATCAGATGCATATCAGCATCCAATACCTGTCAGACACCGATACTTTCTATTTTTGTAGTGTCTGCTTTTCATGATAAAATGTTATATAATCTTTCTTTAAAATATATTTTCCATATAATATATAAAAAACTTTTTGCCTTGTTTTTTCGTTTCACTGCAGATTCTTCTTGCGACAACATCCACAGATGGGAAGTGTCGAGTATTTTCCACCTTTATAAAAGGTGTAGATGCAAAGTATGATAATAAAAACTCTGATCTCTGAATGTGGTTGACCTTTTCAAGATTTTCACCGTATTGATATTGTCATGTCTAATTGGCACAGGGATTCAAAAAAGAGTACTTCATCTGATTTCAAATTTGGAGAGGTTCAATTTTAACTCATATCCTCATGTGGTTTCTTGATTTTGTTTCTATGCTTCAGTTCGTCTTTTTCAAGTTGAATAATATAACCTCAGAGCTTAAAAGGCTGACTCGAAGAAATTATTCTTTTGTTTTACACTTTTAATAGGAAGCGAAAAATAGTACTAATAAATAAATATGACCGATCTTCATGAATAATAATTTTTATACATATTACAGTAAATACATTGCTTGTAATGTGATGTACAAATTTTTTTTTACATATTATGGTAAATACATTGCTTGTAATGTGGTGTACCTTATATATGCTTTGGATATATTATTTGAGAGTTTCTCAATCTACCCCTATATGTTCAAATCTGTCTAAATACACTCCCGACCGAAAGGATCCTTCCTGTGGTGTTTTTTTGACAGAAAACTGAATAGAAATCAGATAATAATCCACCCTCTAAAATATGGGGGGTTTACCGGAAGGATCCTTCCGGTAGTGTATTTGTTGGTTGCTGATCTGAAACCATTAAGACACAGATATGCAGCCATTAATAACGGACAGCAATGCAGATTTTATAGCTGTATTATATGAATACATTTATACTTTACACAGCCATATAGAATATTTCCATTTTTGTATATAGAGATTAATTTGAGTTAATTAGGACTTAATTAGTTTCTTTAGTTACTTGTACTCCCTAGATTATATATATCCTATTCTATTATGTACAAACTCAATAAGAAATACAAAATTTTTACATGGTATCAGAGCTACCGTTCTGATCCGGAAAAAACAATTTGGATTTTCCCATGGAGGAAAAAACAAACAGCTCAAGCATCTTAGATGCTGATCCAAAGGCAGCGACTGGAAACACCACCAGTCATAATGAGACAATTCTCATTACTTGTTACAAGCTCAATGGACAGAATTATACACACTGGTGTAGATCTGTCCGACTCTTCCTCCAAGGAAAGGGAAAGGAAGACTACATCACCGGCGACGCTAAGCAGCCAGCAAAGACTGATTCAAACATGCAAAGTGGAAACTTGAAAATAGTCTTGTGATGTCATGGTTACTCAACTCCATGACAAATGAGTGGTGAAAATTTCATATATTATGGCAATGCTGCAGAAATCTGGAATGCAGCCAAGGAGACCTACTCAAATGTGGATAGCACTTCAGCCATATTTGAGATCAAAAGTCTCTTACATAACCTTCAACAAGGAGACTCTCTAGTAACAAAGTACTATCACACTCTCACAAAGTATTGACAGCAACTCGACATCTATGCTGACACAGACTGAAAGTGTCCGGAGGATGAAAAAATCTATAAAAAATTGATCGAGAAAGATAGAATCTATCAATTTTTATTGGGACTGAATATAAATTTAGATGAAGTAAGGGGAAGGATTCTTGGAACTAAACCTCTCCCTAGCATTCGTGAAGCGTTTGCAGAAGTAAGAAGGGAAGAAAGTAGAAGAAAAGTTATGTTGGAAAGTCAAAGTGCCAACATTGAAGGTCTGCCCTTGTAGCAAGAGGTCCACCAAAGAAAGGTAGAGGATGGTGTGATCGCTGCAAGCGTCCCAGACATACAAAGGACGCTGGGTGCTTCACGGGAAACCCACTAATCTGAAACCACGATTCAAGGATACACGCGCATATGTTGCTGCTGTTGATGAAAGCAAATCCAAAAGTACTGCAGAGGCAAGCCCTTTCAACAAAGAACAAATAGAGATGTTGCAGAAAATGATGCAATAAGCAATACAAAACACTAGTACTTCTTCCACTGCTACTCTTGCCCAAAAAGGTAATTTTTTTACTGCCCTTCATGTTAATCACCAGAAAACAAACCAATGGATTGTTGATTCCGGCGCATCGGATCACATAACTGAGAACATCAATGTATTTACCAAATACACTCCCTGTCAAGATGGATCTTTTGTTCGAATAGCAAATGGTAGTACCTCTAAAGTGACTGGTAAAGGTTCAGTGATCATCACTAAAGATATTACTCTTGATTCAATTTTATATGTTCCAAAATTAAATTGCAGCTTGTTGTCTATCTGTAAACTAACCAAAAATTTGGGATGTACTGCTAAGTTTTTACCAAATTTGTGTGAATTTCAGGATATGAATTTGGGGAAGATCATTGGCAATCCTGAGGAGAGTGCAGGCCTTTACTACCTAAGAGTTGAAGAACAACATAAAAGATCATACAATATACTCTTGTTTCAAAGGAAATATACTCTTGATTTACTTCAAGAAACTTGGATGTTAGGATGCCGGCCAGCAGACACTCCTATGGAATCTAATGTGAAAATAGGAGAGGAAAAAGAGAGTCCACCAGTTGATAAGGAGATGTATCAAAGACTGGTTGGGAGACTTATCTACCTAACCCATACACGGCCAGACATTGGTTTTTCTGTCAGCATGGCTAGCCGCTACATGAACGATCCCAAAGAGACTCACATGAAAGCAGTTAACCGTATTCTATAGTATCTTAAAAAGGCACTAGAGAAGGGGCTGCATTTCAAAAAGGACACAAGCAGGAAAATAGAAATATTCACAGATGCAGTATGGGCTGCATTTCAAAAAGGACACAAGCAGGAAAATAGAAATATTCACAAATGCAGATTGGGTTGGCTCAGTAACTGATAGAAGATCAACCAGTGGGTATTGCTCATTTGTATGGGGCAACTTAGTGACATGGAGAAGCAAGAAACAATTTGTGGTTGCAAGAAGCAGTGCTGAAGCAGAATTTAGGTCAATGGCTCATGGAATTTGTGAAGGGATATGGCTCCAAAGGATGCTTGCGGAACTACAAGTTCATACTTACCATGAAGTAAGTCTATTGTGTGACAACAAAGCTGCCATAAGTATTGCTAAAAATCCTGTGCAACACGACAGGACAAAGCATGTAGGAATTGATAGACATTTTATCAAGGAGAAGATTGACAACGGATTAATTTCTCTTCAGCACACACCCTCAAGTCATCAAATAGCTGATATCTTGACCAAGACACTTCCTAGAACCAACTATGAAAACTTAAGATTCAAGTTGGGCATGATAGACATCTATGACCCAACTTGAGGGGGAGTGTTGGTTGCTGATCTGAAACCATTAAGGCATAGATATGCAGCCATTAATAAGGGACATCAATGCAGATTTTATAGCTGTATTATATAAATACATTTATACTTATTTACACAGCCATATAGAATTTGTATATAGGGATTAATTTGAATTAATTAGGACTTAATTAGTTTCTTTAGTTACTTGTACTCCCTAGGTTAATAAGAAATACATAATTTCTACAGTATTTTCCATCTCATAGTCATTTTCTCTTTGTGCAACAGTTGATTGTTCAGCTTGATCTCTCATCATCTTGGACATTCGGAGTCAAGTGGTCACCAAGTGGCAATACTCTAGCTTATGTAGGTAAGAAAATTCTCTCCTCTGGCTGGTTTTATACTATCTGAAAGTATGGGTTCAACCTATGTCTCTTTCTCATTTATCTACTCTCTAAAGTCAAGAGTTCAAGATTGCTTAATGTGAGCTTCCCTTGGGTTTAGTTGTCATCTATATGTATACTAAGAGAATAATATTAAAAGTAAAAATGTGTTGGTGCTATTATAGGTTATCATGGTGAGCAAAATTTGGTTTATTTATATTCTCCAATCTGTATTTTAAAAAAAATAATATTTGAAGTCAAATTTCTACGAAAACCACGGGAACTTGTGGAAACATTGTATTTTGTTTGCTCTGTTTGTGGTTTTACTTGTGACCAACTGTATTTGTTGCTATTATGCAGGCCATAATTCTATGATATATTTTGTTGATGATGTCGGACCTTCTCCTTTGGCCCAGAATGTCGTGTTCCGGGATTTGCCTCTCCGTGATGTGGGTCAGCATCCACTCTTTCTAAGCATTTAGTTTCTTAGTCTACCTTTGGGGATAACTTACTGATATTTTCTGGAGCTGCTGTATCACTATGACTTGTTTTCAGGTATTATTTCTTTCTGAGAAAACAGTAATAGGCGTGGGATTTGATTGTAACCCAATGGTTTTCGCGGCAGATGAAAGAGGAGTTTGGTATGTAAAAACTCAGATATTTGTGTTTCTAACGTTTGGTCCATGCCCAATCAATGTGGCTTGGCCAACATGTTTTGAATTCTCTTTCCAGGTGGAAGAGAAGTGAGTAAGTTGGTTCTGTATTCATTTTCCTTCTCTTTTGTTGTGTGTTTTCCTCTAGGAGTTTTGTCAGATATCTTGGTGAGCGGAAGACAGTATCATCTGGATCAAGATATGGCTCACAGGTAAACTACATTTCTAATGGACTCTTCAATATACAGCAATGAAACACTTGAATCTTCAGTTGGAAATTAATTTCATTAATCTTATGAATGCGTTACTTGAGAAAACTGAAGAGGTGTGGCATGTGAGTAACGTGATATAGAGTTCCTAAAGAGGTTGTGGCTTGAAACTAGCTTGATATAGAGTCCTTGATCTTCCTAGCATGATATAGTTTAAGCTTGAGAACAAGAAATAATATTGGGGAAGAGTGTCAACTCAGAGGGGTCCCGGCAGTTCCATTTGGGTGTATAAAGAAGAGGCTCTAGTTTTTAACATTTAGCTGAACCCCACATTTTTTAAAATAACCTGTTACTTTTGCAAACAGAGATGCGTGGATAAGAATGACTAGTTATGACTTTTAAGGAAAATAAAATTATTATGTAAAAATTGGAAGTACAGGTAGTAGAAGATATATGATATCCCTCTAAAACGCGTAGTTGGTGCTCCAGCTGAAAATAATGACATTGCTTGTAGTAGTCTTATGTCAAACTAGTGAAATGGAGACAAAATGGTTCCTCTTTTTACACAAAATGTAAACAGTGATTATGAAGAAATGTCCCAATGAAAGTGAAATGGTCCATTATTAACTGAAACCTATACATGCTAGTTTCCTCATAATATCCTAAAGGCCACAGTCCACTTTTTCTTAACTTTCAGCAGCACATGATGTGACTCAATTTAGGTGTCGCATTGGTCTTTAAATCTGATAAAAACTTTTACAGCTAAAATCAGTTCTGTGGTTCAATTAAATGATTTTGGTTTCTTTTTTGTCCATCTTACCTTTCTTTCATGGCTAAGCCCATTGGTGAACACGTGTTACCTGGTTAATTATTTGAGCATACTTTCTTTAAATCTGCGTCTTTATTTTATTTTGTTTGATGTCTTGTTTTTCTTATTAATCAAAATTCATACTCTTGGTAAAAGTTTATAAACCATGTAATTAGATTTTACTAGGGATGCCAAACAGGCATGCACGGCCCACAAAAAAAGAGACAGGACGGACATAGTTGAGGGTGCGGGTCTAAAACCTTAGCTTGCCCCGAAAAAAAATGAGGGCGAGGCAAGCACTGCACCTCTGAAGCCTAAAAATTGTAAAAATCCATGTCAATGTCTGCGTCTGCAAAAGCTCGCAAAAGAGCGGCGCTGGGCTGAGCGAGCATATTAGAGGGTGTGGACCTAAAACCTTGACTCATCCCGCAAAAAAATGCAGGCAAAACGGCATACCCACTGGGCCGGGCCCGTTTTGCCACCCCTAAATTTTACATTGCCATTCAATCATATTGCTAATCCTATTTTTACATTGACATCCAATCATATTTTACTAGTGTCATGTCATGTTATCATAAATTACCACACAAATTTATACACGGTGAGATATTGAATATCTGTGTGAAGTGTGAACTTTTAAGTGCTGGTGCATAGTAATTAAATTCGTTATTAAATTCTTATTGTAATATGATTTTGACATATGGAAACTGCTAGTTTATGAGTTATTTATTCTAACTATTTCTGCTATGCATGTCATATTTCTCTTTATGTCATTAACTTGAGTTGTATTCTCTTTATCTTTTTTACCAAATTCTGTCTTTATCAGTTCTCCGAAGCATTTGGGAAGTTTTATGGCCAATCCAAGCAAGGTGGGAGCAACGATGCTGTTGAAACCTCAAGAACACGGGGAGCAGTTCATGATAACTGTATAAAGTATGTATCTCCCTCATTAACCTGTACCTTTTCCAACCAAAATTGGTTATGTATTTTCTTAGCAAAAGCTCATTGTTTTTCAAATTGATTGATGTGGTTACTCGTTTTCCCTTTGGTCCATTTTATTTGACATGCACCAACCCAACATCACAATTGACGAATCTGATTAACAGTGAGATTTCAGGAAACTATGTCCATTTACACTGTTAATAACTGGTGTGTGTTTTGACTTGTAGTTCTATCATGCCTCTTGGGGAGCGTGGAATATTGACAAAGCGTTTTAGCACATCAGGTTAGTGGTGAGAAGATGGTTATCTTAAATTATCTTGATTTTGTTTTGTGCCGTTTTCGGCTAGTTGCTTTGTCTAATAATACTCCTTTAAACTACAGGATTAGACGGAAGAATTGTTTTATGGGATTTGGAAAATGAGCAGGACCTACTTGAATTATAAGCTCATTAGTATATTGTCCCATCTTCTGCGTAACGATGTTGCATGCATCATTATATGACATCTTGTAGATTAATTTGGTTGTGAGCAATTGAAGTTATTATTATCCATAATTGTTGTGATCAAGGCTTGAAAGTGTCAGATATGAGCCTCTAGAACTAGAATGTGTTTATAAGATTTTACATGTATGATAACATAGTTTCATATTCTATATATTTTGGCTGTTTGCTGTGTAATTCCATGCAATTAATCATAGGACAATATAGAACCCAAGGTAATTTCAAAAATGAAATATCATTTTCATATTTTTATTTAGACTTAAACGAACATATACATAATATGCAATTAATGATAACATAGGACAGTTATGAATTCCATCAAATCAAATTGAAAATTGAAAATTATTTATATGACATACAATGTAAAACTTTTTTTTACTTTCAATGCATCTTCATTAAACTCTAATAAAAAAAGTAGCTTGAGTTTTGTAAAATTAGATGAAATATTCACCGGTACATTAAAATAAATCCTCTTGATATTTGCTCCTACGTCCTAAAACGTAGATAAAAAAATGATAAATAAATAAAATAATCATACAATATTAGTGAATTTAAAATAAGGTGGTAAATAACATTTATAAAAGAGTTTAATTTTGTGCATTATCAATATAAAAAGTTTTATACTGTTAGCATTTCACAGTCATCCTCATATATTACTTTAAATATAATTAAAATAAGACAACATAAGTGTAAAATAATTAACGTTACAAAATGTAATAACATGTATTTTGTTAAATTATACTGATATTTTAAAGTAATTTGTATGATTTGATAAATTGATGGTCTTTTATTGAACAATTTTGTAAATATTATTTCAGAGACGGTCATGTTCATAAAATTCTTAAAATAAAATTTAAACAATTTTACATATAATTGAAATAAAAGTTAAATAATAAGGGTGCTGTCTAGAGTGAATCATCGAACAAGTGGTTCACGTGAGTCACTTAAGTTAAGATAAATTAAAAAAAAAATGTAAAGAACGTATTTTTCTTACATAATTCCTTCCTCTACTTTCTTTCATCCGTCCCCTTCCCATCTCCCACGTTTCTTTATCAAAAATCTCACACAATTCCTTCTTCCACTTTCTCTCATCCGTCACTTTCCTATCTCCCACGTCCCTTTATTAAAAATCTCACACAATTCCTTCTTTCACTTTCTCTCATCCGTCCCTTTCCCATCTCTCACGTCCCTTTATCAAAAATCTCGTGAAACCTCCCTCAAACAATTTTAGGAAATTAAATTCGAAAGTGCTCTATACCCAAAAATAATATTTCAAAATAATAACTTGTAGTGGGTGAATTAAATTTCAAATATTCATCTCTTACATTTTCTAGTTTAGATTTGTTTTAGATAATAAAATTTCATCCAATCCATATCAAATAACTTAACCATTCTCTTCATTGCTAAAAATCATATAAACGAGTCTTTCGGTATCTTCTTAAACACTGCAAATAATACTATAATGCACTAATTAACTCGTAATTTGAGTTGATTTGTGATATGAACTTTTATCCATCTTCTCTAGTTTTAGGACTCTCCCTCCCTTTCAAAGGAATTTTGATTCTGCTATATTATTTGATTTGAGAAAAAAAAAACTGTTGGATTTTGCATTAGTGGATATATAATAGAGTTAACCGAACAGAAGAACAAAAAGTTTTTTTGTTTTCTTAATATTTACATGAAGTAAAATTTTATACCATAAATATCTATGTTAATTTTCTTAAGATGATGCAAGAAAGAGAACAACTTAAATAAAGTAGAAAATGAGTGAAATCCGCATATAATAAAAGAGAGAAGAAAAAGAAATTCAGTGTGATGACTTATAGTGAAGTTATATAGGTTTATTTAATGTAAAGATAAATATTAGTTGTCAAAGTTTAAGATATTTAATTGAGTGTTTGCTGACCAAAACAAATCCCTTCAGTGGAGGTCAGATCATAAGACTCTCACCTTTATAATACTTCCAATAAGCTTGTACACGTCTGATTTGATCTATTGACACTCAATGACAGAACCAAGAGCAGAAACACTGTTAAGTTCATAATGGACAGTAACACAATGTCACAACATCTGGTATGACATTCCATCCTCCTAGAGGCATACAGTCACAAATTGCTTGGTATACAAGTATCCTAAGACACAATACACATGTGAAGAACAACTAATACAATCAGACTTCTTCATTCACAAATATGTCTACCACAATGTATCCAAAGATACAAAGGGTGACTTACAAAGACACACACACACACACGAGACTCTCAAACCCTAAACCTTTATTTTACACTCTAGTTGTTCTTGATGTGAGTGCTTGATTTCACTTGCTTCTACTCCTCCTTAAATAGTACTGCAGACTGGGCTTGGGCTGGTCAAGAGTAACAAACATTAGGTTTAACCACTTTCCATAATTCAAGGTGCTGTCAAATTAGGTCACAACTGCTTCATGTCAGGCCCAACCCTGACTAGAATCTCGCCTAAGATAACTAAGGAGCCATAATAGGTTTCCTGAAGTATAGCCTGAGTTTCCTCTTGCAATATAATAGTAAACCTAACCACGCGCGCTGATGTCATACGTTTGATGTCATAACATCCAGCATGACATCCAACATACTTTGTTCTTAGCTTACCAAACTCACCCTGTTGAACACTCCTGCAGAATCTTCTTCATAACAGTAGAAACAAGCATATTATAGTTTTCTAAAAAGTCTCAGAGATCCTTTTTATGAACACCAATTAAATCTGCACTTTGTTCCTAATAAATCTCTTTGGTCTGCACATACTAATGAGGTATATCCAAAGCACTTCTGTTAAGTGATATAAAACAACAGCTCTTGCTGTACCAGACAACGATGTCAGTGTAAAATTAAGGTTTAGGGCTTTGAGAATCTTTTGTGTGTGACCTTGTAAGTCACCCTTTGTATCTTTGGATGCATCGTGGTAGACATGCTTAGGCTGTTATTAGTACAGTGCTAATTGTTCACTCAAAGCTTTTAAGCAAGAGCGTATCTGTGAGAAAAGAGTTATGTTCTTCACGTGTATTTGTGTGTCTTACGAATACTTGTACACCAAGCAATTATCTGTTGTATGATTGCATTGCTCTAGTGTTCTTAAGTTGTCTGTTAAGTGTGTCACTCAAAGCTTTTAAGCAAGAGTGCATTGTTCTTGATTGAAGCTATTAAGCAAAAGCAATTATTGTGACTTTGAAGAGTGTCTTCTAAAGTTTTCTTTTGTATTGAATTGTTTATCATTGCTGTGATTGAGGGGGAGTGAGCGGGGTCTTTTGTCTAGTGGATTCTAGGCAGAAATTGCATTGGGTAGAGATTATGTGAGGAGTTGTAAACGGGGGAGTTTAGCTCTGAATTGATTATGCTAATAGTGGATTTCTTTCCTGACTTGGTAGCCCCCAGATGTAGGTGAGGTTGCACCAAACTGGGTAAACAATTCATTGTGTTATTTATCTTTCACCATTTACAATTCTGCACAATTTAAATGGTTAGATAAATAGTCTGTCTGTCTACTGATGTTACAACAGACGTCATGACAATGGTACAATTTAAAGTAATTTAAATTGGTCATTGTAATACCCCAAATTTTGCCCTAAGATTTGTCGTCGCATTTCATTGCATTTTTATTGCATTTAATCAATTACTAACAAATTTGTGTAGTCGTTTGACTTTTTGCAGGTAAATATCATATGGCATGCATTTTTTTTCTAAAAAGTAAAAATGGCACAATTGGCAGGAGGACATGTGTAAGGAGTTATGAGTGTGAGAGGTTGAGAGTTCGAATCTCACCTTTGTCACTTTTTTTGTTTTTTATTATTTTTACTCTAAATTTTTCTATCTTTCATTAAAAAATAACAAAAATAGTTTTTTATTATTATTTAATTATTATTTTCGTATTTTAATTAAATCATTTTTTAAAATATTATTTTTTTCACTTTTTTCTAAATTATTCATAAAAATATCCAAAAAATCATAAAATAAAAAATATTGAAATTTTTTTTTTCTTTTTATAATATTTTTGATTTTAGGAATCAATAGGATTATTAGTTTTTATTTTAAGTTTATTTTAATTATTTTAAATTATTTAAATTTTATTTTTTCTTAACTAATTATTTAGTTTGGGCTTTAAAATGGGCTTTAGGGACATTATTGACAATTTGGTGTTAACCCTAATTTGTTCCCTATATATACATGTGTAGCCTTGTTGGAAAAGGGGGGAGAATGAAAAAAACCTAAGAGGAGTGAGTGTCGTTTGCCGTTATTTAGTTTTCTTCTTCATCCATTACTATTGTTTCTTTTTCTTCATCGTTTACCGTTATTTCTTTTCCTTCATCTATTACTGTTGTTTCTTTTTCTTCATCTTTTACCGTTATTTCTTTTTCTTCATTTTTTACCGTTATTTCTTTTTCTTCATCTATTACCGTTATTTCTTTTTCTTTATCTATTACTGTTACGTTTATATATATATAATTTTTAAATTGTTAGAGTTTATATATATAAGATTAATTTTTGATCGAATTATGTCGATACGATGTTTGCACATTTGTGTGCATGACGCGTGACATTTGTGTTAGTTCGATCTGGTTGCGATGATCGCATTTTTGTGTGAGCAATAATACTATTTTTTGCTTAATTTCTTTTTCTTTGCGATAAATTTTGTTTCGTCCGATTTAGATCGGGTTGCGATGAGCGCATTTCTGCGTTAGCAACATTGTTGGGTTATTTGGCACATTTAAAATTCATTATTGCTTTATTATTATTATTATTATTATTATTATTATTATTATTATTATTATTATTAGTATTATTATTATCATTATTTATTATTATTATCATTATTATCATTATTATTACCATTATTATTATTATTGTTATCATTAATTTATTAAAACTTGTTATAATATAAAAATCTGTTTTTTAAAATAAATAACATTAACAT